AGAGAATGAATTTGCATTTGCAAGTCTGTGGGAAACACTGGTGTCTGTCAGCAAACATAAACAAAAAGCATGCTTCAGAACTGTTTTGAGAAGGTGCTTAAGTTTTGAGCCATGTATTCTTACTCTGAATTAGGCTACTACTACTATTACTGTCTTGTACCCTGCAATAATCATTTACTCAAACTCACTTTTAGGAGATGAAGAAAAAAAAAAGAAAATCGGCCAAACATATCGGGCAAAAAAAATTGGCATCATATATCGGCTGCCCTGATTTCTAAATATCGGCATCGGCATCGGCCAGTGAAAACCCCCTATCGGTCGATCTCTATTTCATAGTTCCAAACAAAGCTCTAGCCAAAGCAGCAGCAAAAAAAAAAACACACTTGGCTAATATATATTACCGTTGTTCACAAAATCCAAGAAAATATCGAGAAAAATCTCATTTTTTGTCAGTGTCACATATCTTTAACAACCCAGTCCAATCCTCTTAGCAGCTTATTCTTTGTGTAAAAAAAAAAAAAGTTAACAAATCAATTTTTTTTTTTTTTTTTTACATTGTACGTTTTGGTTTAATGTTACTAGTTTTTAATCATACAGTTTGCTGTTATTATAGCAGGCTTTCTGCGGGTCTTAAGATACCTTAAAAGTCTTAATTTGCCTAAAGATTTCATTCATTTAATATAATTTGTTTTCTGAGAAATTAAACAAAATGAAGTGAGTTTATGCTTAAAACAAGAACAAACATCAGTCAGTGGAGTATGAAAGCTTGTTTTTAGTTAAATGTTTTTTTGAGACCTTGGGCAGACATCAGCACTTGTTTCAATCATAAACAATAATTTTGTTCAATTTCTTCTTTTTTTGTAAAATAAGTTAAATCTGTTGGAAACTGTTTATTTTAAAACATGAACTGTTGCTAATACTGATGTATTGTTTTCCATTCGATTTATTCCCTGAATGTTCTTTGCATGGTCTTAAAAAAAGTCTTGAATCTTTACCTTCAGTAAACCTGCAGAAACCCTGTATAATAAATGGATCTAATAAGGGTGTAATAAGGGCACGTTCAAATAAATGACTCCAATTCAAATGTTAGCACCAGTATGCAACTTAGAGACTGTCTGACCAGTTTCCGTGTCTCTCCTCGCAGGCGTCTCGACGCGGGAGGCGCGCGGCAGACTCGGCGGACCTGCTGTTGACTAACATGAACGAGTCCGTCAGCGTGCTGGACATCATCGCCATCCACTGCCCCAAATACCGAGACCGGCCGCAGATCGCACGTGTGATCCAGAGGAACAGCGACGGTTACAGCATCCACTGGATGGCGGGCTCATACTCCAGCTCCTGGACCGAGGCCAAGCGGCGCGACGGACGCAAGCTGGTGCCTTGGCTGGACACCATCAGAGAGACTGACATCATCTACAAAAAAATCACACTCACCAGTGGCAACAAGCTCAACCACAAAGTGGCGCAGACTCTACGGTCACTCTACGCTGCCAAGGACAGGAACTCCAGCTAATAATACGTAAACGCACGCACGCACATACCTCCCATCTCGGATCCTCTCAGCCTAATGTAACACACACACTCACCGTCTCTCCATATACCAACATGCCTATCAGCCAAACATCCCCTGGGTCAGCCAAACACAAGCGGTTATTCTACACTACAAGCTCTTTCACTCTCTGATGCACTCTGGGTCTGGCGGTGACGTTTGGCCCTCTGCGCCAGAGTGCATCGTCATATCACAGGAATAAAATGTTTGGAGAAACATTGTATGGGTGCTCCTTCGCTGTTGTGCAGCAGATTTCTGGTTGTTTGATTTCTACTCCCAGTGTATCATAGTTTAACATAAAAATATTGTTTATATCTATAAAAGAAACTTAAATATATACTGAATGTTGAAAGAACACATAGTTTGTTGATGTTTTTACTTTATTTTTTTCTATTTTCCTTTTGGATTTCTTAGCGTCAAGCGGCTTTCTATAGCTTAGCTCCTTCTTAACTGGCTGATGATGATGATTCTCTCTGTTGAGCGGTTTGTCCATTTTGTACGATAGCACCGTGTGGCTGTAATTTATTGTGTATAGCATGCAGTGTCTGTGAGGAGGGCTGTGTCGAAGGAGATATGCGATTACAGGTCGCCCTGCTCAGCGTAAAGGGACCCACATGCCTCTGATGGAACAAATACTGCAATAAATTTTCTACTTCTCTTATGTGCAAGAGTCATCCTGTCTGTTTGCAAATCTTGTTCTGTTGTCTTTTTGTTTATTGCGTTTTTTGCCATGCACGCTTCCTTTATTGACAGGTGTAGTGAAGAGAGTACAAGAAATTACGCGGAGAAATGCGTCCAGGGTAAAGGTGCCCCAAGTCATTTTTTGTAGTATAAGAAATTAATATAAAGTCACACATTATTTTAATGTGTCCTTGTTACAGAAATATTAGGTTTACACTGGGGGGGGGAGGAAGTATTTTATATTGTTGAATTTAGAGTAGCATACTATTTCTGTCATATCTTTGCATGGTAGAAATAGTAAGAATACTACAAAAGTATGCTTTTCAGCCTTTGTGTTTATTTCCAACTGTACGAGACTCTAGATTTGAATTAAACATGCATTTAATATAGTGTCATGTGACAGTACTGTAGCATACAGTTTAAAAAGTTTGTTGTATACCTAGTGTGTCACTCACTTTTAGTAAACAATTAAAGAGTACTAGGCACTATAAGGTGTATATACTGCATAGTATTTAGTTACTTAATATTGTCAGTATGTAGTTCATATTCTATAAACGGTATGCATATTTTCTGTATGGACAAAATACTGCAAAGTGTTCAGTGTATAAGCACACTGTGCTACGTACTGTATCCCACAATGCAATGTGCTCACCCTGCCATTTAGCTGTGTAATGAACTGGAAGTATTAGCAATATCTCTTTATTAACTTATTTGTACTTCCAAAAGTTAAAACATGTTACCTTAAGTTTTTTTCTGAGATGACAGCTGGATGTCAATCACTAATTTATACATGCATCATGGTGCTATCATGCAAGTATCTATTCAGATGAAAAAAAAATTATTTATTTTTTTTACTAAAACATGATTTTGCACTGAGTTTTGTACATGTTTTTTTTTTTTTGAGGAAAGAGGCTCCTCTGTTTCCACTGGAACCGGAAGTACCAGAAACGTGAGTTTTCCATGTGAATTGTCTTTTTCTCTGGATTCCTTTGGATCGATGAATTCACATGACGTTCCGCTGTTTAATGGGTTCATTTGCACCATTTATAGACGCTGTTCTTGCCAAAAGCAATTTCTAATCTATGAAATATTTTGGCGCAGAGCATAAGTTGAGAATTTCCATGAATTTACTAGGATTGTTTTTCTGTTTACTGTTAACAGTGAACTGATAAAATGCCTCAAACACAGCAATTAAATCATGTTCAAAATGCATAAATGCTACTTTTTAGGAGTCTTTAGAAAAAAATCTAGGATATGTAGCCTTTCAACATGAGATGTACTGCTCTGTTAACGAGCTGTTAAATGTTAATCTTGCTTCTAAAATTGAAAAACTATGTATACATATACACTGAACAAAATTATAAACACAACCCTTTTGTTTTTGCCCCCATTTTTCATGAGCTGAACTCAAAGATCTAAGACGCATACATATAAATGGTATATGTTCATGTTTAAATAACGTGACCCTCAGTGAAGATTCATTGGTCCAAAGTTGATGTATAAGAATATATCTGGTACATTAAGTTCTTTCTGTGTAGAACATCACGTTACTTTACCTGCCAGCTGGTGCACAGGTGCTGGAAACCGGACAACAGGTGCTTGCTCAATGGAAATGTTTTTCCCGTACGTCATTCTGGGAGAACAATGTATGTTATGACTAGCTGAAGCCTTCATCTCGCAACGTGATTTCAACTGATGAAAGACACAGAATATAGTCCACAGTTCTTCATGAGAATAAATGTGTATGAAATATAGATCAATGTAAGTTATTTGTGCATTCAGAATGCATTAAAACATTAGATTCGCCTCGCATCAATTACAAATAATCTAAAATCCTAAAATGTATTTAATCGATTGTTCTATCCTGTCAAACAAACTATTACCATTTCTAAAAAATAGCGTCTTTCTCTTGAACGTCTGATACGTTTCCACGTTTCATACTTTCAGCTTTTATTTTTATACTTTCCTTTTTTACGTTTTAGTCATTTTTACGTTTTTTTTTATTTTTGAATGTCTATATAGGTTTTTATGAATTTGTATTTCAGTTTTGGTTATTTTAGTATAAAAACATCACAAGTAATCCACGCCACTCCAGTTCATCAATAAACATCTTGTGAAGTGAAAAGTGTTTGCAAGAAACAAATCCATCATTAACACATTTTAGCTTTAAACAGTCGCTTTTGGCCAAAATGCAAGTCCATAATAAGATGTTAATTAATGGCTGGGTTGTGATGTTTTTATCAGCAGTTTGGACTCTCATTCTGATGGCACCCATTCACTGCGGAGGACCATTGGTGAGTAAGTGATGTTCTTCTGTTCCCATGAAGAAACAAACTCATCTTGAATGAGTACATTTAACCAAATTAAATTTTTGGGTGAACTATTCCATTAAAATATAGTAAACCTATGCAGCAGCAGATTTCTCAGCAGACCCTCTACATTTGTCTCTATATACATTAAACGGACACAAAGAGATGTATTATTACTGCTCATGATGGCACGTCTTCTGTTAACACACAAAGCACTGTAATGAGGCGCTTCACCACTTGAGCTGAACGCTGTGGACGTTCTTTCAGATATTGACTTGAAATGCTGCTCTATAATTACAGATAAAGAAGAAGAGGCTGGAGCGTCGAGTCGAGCTACAAGCTGAACAGAAAGACCGGCTGTGAAGTAGCAAAAGGTAAGAGACCTTTTCACACAGGCAGTGAAATGAAGAAGTCTTGTGATGTTAAAAAAGATTTCTATTTCAAGAAATCCAATAAATGGTCTGCTTAAGTTTTTTTTTATATCTCAGTGGAACTGGATTTTTACTTCCAGAACCCAACATTTAGGCTCTATATTCAGAATGCTCTCCTGCTCTCTGTCTAGTACTCACATTACAGATTTACAACAGCTAATGACTAATTACTGATGTAACCGTTGACCTGGGTCATTGTTCGTCATGTTGAGGTAACAGCATTAACAAGGTTGTTCCTTGTGGGTTTGGTGTATTAACTGGTGTCCCGTGTGGTGTGTGATGACAGGTGTGTGCGGCGGCCGAAACGTGAACTCTGAATTAGAGATCAGATCTCCACCACACTCCATATCTCCAGTTTCATTCTCTTTTCTTTTCCATTTATACATCTCTTTTCCACAAACCCAAGCTCTTTATTGTGTTTCCAACCATTACATACAAGTTATAAACTCACTGCACATGTTACAGTCTCTTTTAACAGATTTTTAAGCCATAACTGTGATGTTGACATACGACATGTATGTAACTAAATGGTGTGATGTTGTTTTGACAAAGTCAGCATGAAATGACATTCTCTCATTTTACTTCCATAATGTGGTATACTTTCCAGGTTTCAGCTAGATGTGGGTTTTTCCGGAAGCTTTTTGACCAGGATCTGGAGGCTGACAATCAAGTAATAAATGGTAATGCTTGTATTTCACTGCCGTTATTTGCTATTATTTCTGTAAGTTATTACATTAACTGCCTTTCAATTATTTAAACTACTGCCAAGATTTTAGCAAGACTATTAGCTATTTAGCTATGAGTTATTTTTCTGATGTTCTGATGAAATGTTCATAGGAAGACTAGGATAACAGGGTCAGTTTTGATTTCATGTTGACTTAAACACTGATTACAAATATACAAATACCAAAGCATCTGTTCTAGGTTAACAAAATAGAATGATATAAATTATATAAAAATAACATTCACTAAATTTGGGTTCGCTAGCATTTTCCTTGCTGTACAAAACTGACAAATACAATGCTGAGAGGTAAACGTTAACTGGATAACCAGCTTTGTCAATAATACAGTACACTTTAGAGCACCACAGCAGTAAAACAAATCAGTTCAATTAGTGACTCATAAATACCTAAAGTTTGGCATTTTGGGGAAGTTACCATTTGCTCATTGCCATTCAAAATCCATGTGACAGTTTCTTCTGTGGAGCAGAAAAGTCGATAAGATGAATTAGATAAGATATAGATAAATTAATATTATAAAGGCAACCCAGGCTCATTAGAAATGCATGATGCATACATTTCCCTGCAGTTTCCAGGTGAAATGAACACTAGGGGCTGTAAAAACACCAACAACTTTTGCTCCTTTTCACACAAATTATGATTACAGGAGAAGATTATCGATAAATAAAGGCTTAATTTTTCAAGTGGTTCATTGCGCAATACTCTCATGCCCTCAAAACACTTTTACATACATTTTAACATCTCACATGTTCTTCTCAATATGGCTTTTCTGATAAAGTAAACTTGCTCGGTAGCTCACCCGGTACAGCATTGCGAAAACCATATCTGCAATGGAGAAAAATTATACAGCTTATAGCGCCTCCTGTGGACGTGTCATCTGACAAATTCAGCTAAATGTACCCAGAGCTACTTATTTCAGGTTTTGCAGAAATGTAGGCAGACGTATTTCCAGTGAGCCTGAGTTGCAACAAGGCCAGGTATGAGTAGCAATATTTTCTTTTCTGGTTAATGAGATTTGAAGTTGCGATAAAACTTAAGTAGCAACAGATCTTTTCTTCTTTATTCTGATGTACATCAGAATGGAACAAATTATCGAAAAAGAAAGAAGTAGGGCGGGGACTTGATTCTGTCTTTCGGTTGCTGATTGGATGTTGGGATATGGGCGTGGCATTCAAAAGTGGAGACAGATGAAAGGAGCTTGAAGGGGCGGGGTTTAAGCGGACTAAATGATTGGAGGATTCCTGCATACATCAGGAATGATACTGGAAGATTCAGTTAAGACGTTTTGATTAAATGTTAGGTCAAAAATAATTAAAAAATGCACAAATGAATTAATGAGATCTATAATATGCATTTAGAAAATAGGGTGAATTTTCTTTTCATGGTGGCTTCAAGTACTACAACAGATAGGAAGATTTTCACTTATTAAAGACATGTTGGTCTGTTCATCATGAAAAGCTTCAGAAGTCTTGAAATATAGTGCATGAATCTTTTGGAATAGATTTTTTTAATGTGCTGACATTATGGAAAAAGAGCAGCATGAACTTTCTGCAAAACATCTTTTAGGATGCCATACGGGATTGAAACAATGTAGAAGTGAGTAAATTGTTATTTTTTATTGTTAATTTTTATTAGACAAAGAAAAAAGAACTTGGGGGCGGGGGCATATAAATAGATATTCAAAAATATACAGTGCCTTGCAAAAGTATTTTTTGCAATCATTTTTTTCACGTTTTGTTATGTTGCAGCCTTACGTTAAATTGCTTTAAATTATTTTTTTCCCCACATCATTCTACACTCCATACACTATAATGGCAAAGCAAAAAACAGGTTTTTAACATCTTTGCAAATTTATTAAAAATAAAAAACTTAAATGATTCCATTTCATAAGTATTCAAACACTTATCTGGGACAGTTGAAATTGAGCTCAGGAGCATTCATAGTGCTTGTAGATGTTACTACACTTCAAGTGAAGTTAACCTGTGGCAAATTCAATTGAATGCGTATGATTTGGAACGGCACACACATCTTAATAAAAGGTCTAACAGCTGAAAATGCATATCAGAGCAAAAACCAAGCCCTGAGGTCAAAATAAGAGCTCAGAGACAGGATTGCATCAAGCCACACATCTGGAGAAGAGTTCAGAAAAAATTCTGCTGCATTGAAGGTTCACAGAATCATGTAGCCTTCATTATCCATAATGGATTTCTGGAGAAACCTGAAAATGTGTGTCTGCCCCCATCCAACCTGACGGAGCTTGAGAGGTGAGGAGAAAAATGACAGATAATTGCCAAATGCTGATGAGGCTGTAAAGGTGCTTCAGCTAAGTACTGAGTTAAGGGTTTGAATACTTATGCAATGTACTTATTTCAGTTTTTTATTTTTAATAAATTTACAAAGTTGTGACAGTTCTGTTTTTGCTTTGTCATTATGGTGTATAGATTGATGTGGGAAAAAAGTTATTTAAAGCAGTTTAACATAAGGCTGCAACATAAAACGTGAAATAAATAAAGGGGTATGAATACTTTCGCAAGGCACTGTATATATATATATATATAAATAGGGATGAATTAATTTCATCAAAACCATTCATTTGGGTTTTGTGTTTAACAATGAACATAAGAATCAGAGAAAATTCTCTTTCGAAATTCTTCTTCATAAGAGCTTATAAAAACGCACAGCACACAAAATATCCTGTCTTGCTGTTTAAGATGTGCCTTTCCTATAGGTTAAATGATGTACATTCTCAGAAAAAGGGTACAAAGCTGTCACTGGGGCGGTATTTTAAGTTACCTTATTTACCCTAAATAGTACATATTCACACCTTTTAGCTTTTGTATCTTAGGGTAGCGCCCCAGTTACAGCTTTTTTTTTTCTGAGTGTGTATGTACCAGTTTTTGAACATCTTACAATGCTATTCTTGCAATTCCTTATCCTGTATCTTCTTAGAGAAATGCAATCATGATGATTCCCTCGACCGAGCCATGCTCACACATGTAATAACCTGAAATTGTTTCCATTGATTTTCCCGTCTGGTGTCATTGTCTATCACAGCTGCTTAGACACAGCCACATTTCCGTGCCGAGTGCCTCTTCATGGTGTGGTATATGAGGTTGTCATCCAGAAAGGACAGGTCGTCGTCGTATTCGACAGGTCGGCAGCAGACGGTGGGAGGAGAGCTGCGCAGAATGTTTTTGCCGTTGCTGGCGAGGCCGGTGAGGATTTTGTCATAGTTTGTAAGGGAGTTCATACACACGCCGCTGCAGTAACTGAATATCAGCTCCTCCTGACTCCGGTAGCCCAGACCCAGATCAGACACTTTCAGCTGGACTTGTCTCAGTGCACACGCTCTTCCTTTGCTCTTCTCTCTCTCGTCACGACTCGGTCTCTTTCTGTCCATCTTGTTACGAAGGAAACCTCTCCGTTTTGGAGATCTCTTGGGTCTGTGGGTGAAGGCTGAGTGTGGTGTGGGAAAGCTGTCTGGATGACAGAGGCAAGAGATGTTCCTGCATTTGCATTACAGATACAATCTGATTTTAAACAATATGCTAAAATGAGCTACAAAAGCCTCTGAATCTACTAAGGTAGTTTTATGTGGAAAGGTCATACTCTTTACATATATGCATGCTTTAAAAGGGTCATATCATGGAAAAAAAAAAGAGATCTAATGAAAACATTTTTTTTCTCCATTTCTGAAGTGAAAACTTCCTCTCCAGAATAAAAAAATATTTATTGAAAGTAAAAAAAGAACAGAAAATATAAATATAAGATGAAAAACTGAAATAAAATAAGTTTAAGATGAAGGACTAAAACTACAACTGAAATAAAAATAAAGCTAAATAGAAAAATTAAAATGCTAATAAAAATGACAAAAGCGCACAAAATTACTAAAATTTAAACAAAAAATTAAAGCTAAATAGAAATATTGAAAGAAATGCTAAAATTCACCAAAGAAATATAAAAAACTAATAAATTGACAAAAGCACATAACAAAGTTACTAAAACTGAAATAAAAAATAAATAATAGCTAAATAGAGAAAAAAAAACTAATAAAAATGACAAAAGCACATAAAGTTACTAAAACTGAAATAAAAAATAAATTATAGCTAAATAGAGAAAAAAAAACTAATAAAAATGACAAAGCACTAAAAAATACTAAAACAAAGAATTAAAGCTAAATAGAAATATTGAAAAAAATTATAAAATTGACCAAAGCATGTAACAAACTTACTAAAAGTGAAATAAAAAATAAGTTATAGCAAAATAGAGAAATAAAAAAACTAATAAAACACAGCAAAATTACTAAAACTGAAATAAAAATAAATAAAAGTTTACAAATTACTTAAAAATAAAAATAGCTAAATAGAAAAATAAAAACTAATAAAAATGGAAAACAAAATTACTAAAACTCAAATAAAAATACAGCTCTCTCTCCCTATATATATATATATATATATATAAACAAATAATTGACAAAAAGCACATAACAAAATTATGAAAACCGAAACTAAAATTAAGATGAATTAAAACTGTAAATAAAAAGTTGCATTAGAGAAAGAGCCTGTTTAATTCTAAGAGTCAGACAGGGTGGTCGTGTAAAACTAAACCATGCCTGTTTTTGTTGCAGGAAACCTTGGCTAGAGGATCTCCGGGAGAACACAGACTGCTGATATGACCCTTTCAAGTGCGTTGTACATTGTGTTTTGACAGTATGTAAAGGTGGTAGTGTTTAGATGTGCCTTTATGACAGGACGAGTAGAGTGATCAAAGAGCCATAACATGATATAGTTTGCATTATTCTGACAGCTTTTAGCAACAATACTGCTTTTGTCCACAGATACCAGATATAATACAGGTTCAAATGGAGTTGTAAGCTCAGTTTGTAAGCTGATAGAACTAGAGTAGTGTCTCACCCAGGTACAATGGGTCACCTGAAACTTCTTTACTTAACCATCACAACAGTATCAGGTGTGTCCCGAAATACGCTTTATCACACCTGTGTGTGTATTCATGTGACTTTTATATATTTAATAGTAAGAATCGAATGGCTTCTCCTGACCTGAGTGACTTCTTGGCTGCAGATGTTTGTATGGTTTTCTCTGTAGGTCCTGTGGTCTTTGAGAGCACTGTCCGGCTGGGTTCGGGACGGAGGACACGCAGCTCAGCGTCAGTGCACACGCCAGCATCACACCCCAGACCTTCATCTTACTCTCTCCTCAGCTCACAAAGCCTGTGCCAAACGCACATCACAAACATTCAGGAGAATTACACGCTTTCCTTAGTCTTTCATTTACAGCCTTTGTAAACTGTATTTATGCCACAGAGATTACACAGCCCAGCTTTGTACCTCTTTTAAAAAATTAATTGAAAATGCACATTGAATTAGTTAATATAGAGTTTTGTCTTGCTTTTTCTGTGGGTGCTGTTTTTTTTTAAACATAATTTCTCTATCGGGCACTTTATAAATTACATCTTTAATAACAACAACAACAACAACAAATATTTAAGTTTAATATATAAGTTAAATAGATAAGTATATAAGTTAAATATTTAAGTTAAATATAGCATTATTATTATTATTACTACTACTACTACTATATAGACCCAGAACAGTTTAAAAGTACAAAAAAAAACAAAAAAAACTAGCCTTTCTGAATTAAATCTGTAATAATAATAATGGGATATTGTGAAAAACACTTTATACATTAAATTTGATAATAATAATAATACATATTTAGCTTAATATAGCATTATTATTATTATCATTACTATTATTAGTGCTGTCAAACGATTAATCGCGATTAATCGCATCCAAAATAAGTTTTAGTTTACATAATATATGTGTGTGTACTGTGTTTATTTATTATGTATATGTAAATACAAACACATGCATGTATATATTTAAGAAAAATGTTATGTTTATATATTAAATATATTTATATATACGGTAATAATATAAATATATATGTATATACATGTAAATATTTCCAAAATATATACTGTGTGTATTTATATATACATAATAAATAAACACAGTACACACGAATATATATTATGTAAACCAAACTTTTATTTTGGATGCGATTAATCGCGATTAATCGTTTGACAGCACTAATTATTATTATTATATAGCCCAGA